CTTTCCCTTTTTTCTTAACAGTTAAATATTTTAAAACAATTGATAAAAAATTATTGTATATTATATTTTATTCTGTGTTTAATTTTAATCAACAGCTAATTTTGAAATAGCATCATATATAATACATTTATTTCTTCCAATTTAATTAAAAACTGTAGCTTAGGCCATGTGCAATTTACTTTTTATTGCTGTATTTCATCTGACGTTTAACTGAATTTGATGAAATAGTCTAGCCAGTGCTTTGAGCGAGTAACGTGTTTACAACGTATTTGCAGATAAGGAATGTTTGGCAGGCACTTTGAGTATGCTCTAATCAAGCGACGCGGTAGCGTCGCGACGCCAAGTATATATAAAAATTCGTTCCAGCTTGTCAACGGTTTGCCTATGTACAGGGGCTGCGACGCTACCAAGTAGCTTATCCGGAATTTTAGGTCTAGTAAACTTTTATAATATATCCTGAATTTTCATAGTTTCTGTTGTTACATGTTTCTTGATTAATATCAAGTCAAATTTTCTTTTAAAAAATTTGGGATATTAAAATATTAAATTAATATATTATATTACTTTTTAATTTTTGACATAATTAAATTCAAATTCAAATAAATATAATCTATTATGTCCGATATTTAAATTTAAATTAAATTTTAGTTTAAAACGAGATTTGCTTAAAAATATATGACAAATATTTTGTCGATATCGCTTTTCTTAAAGCTCGCGTGAAGATTTCTGGTTATTGATAAATAATATGAATTATGACTTTCCCTTTTTTCTTAACAGTTAAATATTTTAAAACAATTGATAAAAAATTATTGTATATTATATTTTATTCTGTGTTTAATTTTAATCAACAGCTAATTTTGAAATAGCATCATATATAATACATTTATTTCTTCCAATTTAATTAAAAACTGTAGCTTAGGCCATGTGCAATTTACTTTTTCTTGCTGTATTTCATCTGACGTTTAACTGAATTTGATGAAATAGTCTAGCCAGTGCTTTGAGCGAGTAACGTGTTTACAACGTATTTGCAGATAAGGAATGTTTGGCAGGCACTTTGAGTATGCTCTTGTAAAATCGCAATCTCGCGTTGCTTTATTGCGGTGTATAACCATACTGTGAGAAATTCCATAACGATTAATTACATCTTTGTGTAAAATTCATACAAGTGAAGATAGAAATGGAGATATTCGAGATACCACAAAATTTTTCAAAAAAATATTGTAAAAAATATTTTTAAAAATATATATACATA